AGAAACAATTTACAACTTCTTAATAAATATCCATTTGATCCTAAATTTCCCTTTTGAAATACTTCTTTTTTCTACATGAGTCAAACTCATTGTTGCTATGTAGTTACAGCTAACAGCATCTTTAGTAAGGAATGAAAGCTGCTCTGAGGCTGGCTTCTCACCAGGATGTTCTGGAAACATATGCATGACAAACACCCAGAGGACTGACTCTCTTTGTTTATTCCTAGTTCATCCCTAAATTCTACGTTTAGCATGATTGACTGCGGAAACTAGAGTCCACGAAACAAGGTAAACTGCCTACTTTAAGTATAAGTGCTACATACAAATTCAAAACAAATTATTCTTAAAATTCATCAGGATATTGGTGACTTTATTACTTTTATTTTTTTTAATTACTAAACCTCTCTAAAGTTTTCTGCTTCCTTTCCTTCTTGTTCATATGCAAATATTTCTTGACCAAACTTTTAAAAGGCAATTGACTGCAAATTAAAGTGATCATTTCTGCAAGATTTTTTACGTTAGTGTAATCAACATTGTTATTTGCTTTATTTAATATGTAACATTAGATAATTAAGCAGTATGTCCATCTGATTATTTGAGGTAAAAAGAAAAATCACTAAAGTAGTTTAATTCTACTTCTTACTTAATAAGGTTGGAATTTTAATTTTTTTTCATGAAAGAAAACATAGAGGAGACAATTTTCTCAAAATTAACCTGTTGCCACATAAGCATCTAGATGTCAATTTCCTATCTTCTCACTGCAGACCAGGAGCTTCCCAGACACACACACTATTATTTCTATGCTTGTAAATTAAGACACCATTCTATCACTCGATAATTTAAGTTTGCAAATGAGACAGACAATATTCTTTGGTAACATATTTTCCAGTATAATGAATATATGTTGTATTCTACAGTTGACGCTCAGAAACAAGTTAACCTTAACTTTTTTTCATTAACTAAAACCATAGTAACATTTTTTTAGTGCAGCAACACTAGGTCAGAATGTTCCAGCACTGAGCCATGCCCATGTGGAATCATTTTAACAGTGTACAGGTTCTCCTGCTCCCATGACATTTCTTTTTTCTAACAGTACTTCATTCTTCACCAGCAGTTTTTAATGTACTTGGTGTTTTTTCTGGTGGAACTGAAATGAGGATTGGATTAAGCTTCCAATTTTCCAGAGATTGAAGACATTCTCTGGAGTACTCAGCATACTTGAAGCAAATCTCTTTTTAATTTACTTGGTACCATATGACTCTCACATTATACAATTGCCTGCACTCAATTCAACCAACTTGTGTTTGAAAAGAAAATGTCACTGAAGGAAGACTGGAAAATAATAATTGAGCTTTGCTTTTATAATGTACTACTCAGGATAATTGTGAGATAAAACTATATATGGTCCAAATGACTCAATTACATTAAGTTGCCTAAACATGAAAATGTCAGATGGGAATATGAACATCTATGTGTCACTTAAGAAGCTACTGCTTCTGAAATGTGACCTTCCTTTAGTTATAGGTAGAGTGGTGATTCCCCAAGATCATGTTTCTACACAGTGAGTATCTGGTTTCCTGTTTTACTCAGTAAGTTTGAAGAATTCAAGACGGAACAAGAAAATGAGCATTTTATCAGGTTTCCTATCATTGTCATCATCAACATCACCCCAGCTTTGTTTGGTTTCTTTACCCCTGTAATCATGATTTATTCCAAAAGGAACAGAAGAATCTAGTTGGCAAAACTGGCAGAATTTGCTTCATTACACGCCCTCAAAGACATCCATACCAGTAGCCAATGTCTCTTCCTCAGAAATCCAGTCCCAGTTCCAGAGAAATACTGTGGAATGGGCTGAGTAGAAATTCGTACTCATAATTTCAGCTCAGCAATGCCCTCATTCTATGGCGGATTTTAATAATAGCAAGTGCCTGCTTCTTACAACTGTTAATTCCAGTATGCCAAAATGTTTTTGCTCTTTCAGATTCTTAATTCTTATTTAGTAAGTTTTTTTAAATGTAAATTTCTCTGCTAAACATAGTGTAAATTCTTGCTTTTCTTAACACAGTCTTAGGAATAATAATAGAATGTTCACTCTGCAGATGTGTTGAGCTGTAGCTGGAATGCCAGTCCAAGGTGTAAGAATGATCTATAATGGAAGAACTATTGTGCCACTATCTTAGTCCCCATATATAGAGACATTGCTACATAAATATCAATATAAGACACACTTATTATTCTTGTTAAAATTGTTAATTTATACTGGCCTTTTTCATTGCTTAAGTAGTAAAAACACACTACTACTATTGCTAGTTATTTCATAACTTTATGAGTTAAAAATGATCATGACCAGATAGCAGGTTTTGCAGTATTAAATAACACCTAAATTTGTAGTATTGGACAAGATATTTGGGAAAAGTTCCATAAAAGCACAAGCTGAGAGTAGCTTGAGCAGAATATCTGTGTTTAAACGCTGCCATGCCTCCAGCTCTATTTATCTTATCCATCCTTTCTCCCCTGATTAACTTGTGGAATTCTGGGTTTATAAGGGCTTAAGCAACTGATGGCAGATGCTTATGTTTTTCTTGGCCAAGTATTCAAGAAAGGAAAGAGAAACTAATGAGAGAGAGAACACACTTTTCAGATAATCTGTTAGTAAAATAATCATAATGATCTATTGCTCACTTAGAAACCAAGTAGATTGTATATAAGACAAAGAAATAACATAGAAAATTGGCTGTTGTTAGCTTTTGTATGCAGTGGAGAGTCTTCAGAGAGCTTCATTCTCCATAATCCTTTTACTGTTTATGGTTCTTGGTCCTTGCAAACTAAGGTCTATTTTGCCTTCAGTTTTAGATAACTATTTTTTATAAACAGTAAAACAGATATTTTATATTCTTAAAAAAAGCTAATTAATTATTCTCGGCATATGTGTGTGTGTGTGTGTGTGTGTGTGTGTGTGTGTGTACTAGATAGAGGAGGCATATGCCACAATGTATGAGTTGAAGTCAAAGGACAACACTGTGGAGTCAGTCCTTTCTTTCTATTCTCTCCTACCTTTCTGTAGGTCCTGGTTATTGAACAAAAGCTACCAGGTTTGCACAGCTCCTTTATCTACAGAGCCTACAAGCCCCATATCTTGTCTTTTCTTTAAAAAAATGAGACAACTGCAAATTTGATTTTTTAGAAAAACAGAAATGTATTTCCTACCTTATAAAACAAAGTTCATTTAAGTAGAAATTTATTAAGTATAGAATGGAACTGTAAGAAAAGGGGCCAATGGAATGACATTTTGATATCCCATTAAATAGTATATATCAGAAGAGAATTTATACAGAACAATTAAAACAATGTTTTCCATACTAAAAGAGTTCCAGTGGGAAATAATTATGAAACTGTTAAAAGTTAAGGCTTTCAATAAATGTAAGACGATCTCCATACTGTCTATTCTCAGTAGGGGATGGACTTATTTTAATGTTGCCAGATGTAGGCATTGGTTTAAATGTCAAAAATTAAAAAAAAAATGAGGGAAATATTCTTCAGAACAGCTTTTGCCTACAAGAGAAACTAGAGATAACTGACTTCATCCAGCTCTGTTAAGTGTGTCCTCAGAACTCACTCCCCACACAGGCTCTGGGGTACATTAACCTCACATACAAGTTGGAGCTACTTTTGCTCCCCTGTGAATTCACATGAAGTATGCTGTGGCACCGGTATGAGTTACCAAGCTATAAGTTTACCTTGATCTGTAATGATCAAAAGGACCCAGTGTCTTTAATAAGATTAGTGAGCTGCATAATTTAAGTATCCATTATTAGCCAAAACAAGTTAACATTACTATTGTGCTCATGAAGATAGGGAGGCAAACATGATATAGCACTGCAGAAGGAGCTATAGCTGTTTTGTGGCATTTAACAACAGCAGATAATACATAGAAATAATTGGTGCTTCAAATAACTTTAGAGTCATAACATTGAAAGTAAAATAGAAGCAAAATGTAAATGGACAACTCAAAGAAACAGTTAAACAAAAACGTGTTAGCATGCTCCTTGAAGACATCCATATGTAGACCCAGTGAAATGAATGAAACGATTCTTGCTGCTATCTATAATGAAAATGTATATGATGTGAGGAAACAAATGAAGCTATGGGAAAAAGTGATGTTAACCGAGAACTTCATATGGAAAAAACTTGAGGAAAACCCGTGCACAGTTAGGATGAGACAGGGACGCTGATATAACTTCCATAAGAGCCACAGTGGCTCACAGAGCACAAGGCAATGCTTGCTCCTCCTCCTAAGTCACCTGATGAAAAAGCACATGTCTGTAATCTAGAATGATTCTGATAAATCTTAGTTAAAGATATGAATCAAATTCTCAAGAGAATTTGTTTTAAATTTGATCAATTATTTTAAAGTATTGTTTTAAAGCATTAAATGATAAATTATTGCAACTTGTCTGTGTACTTTCAGGGCAGAGTCAAATTGTACAGCGCTGTTAAGCTTCTGATTTAAATAAATTCAAAGAATCATAAGAGCAGATGAATTTTAGATTTTGCTGCCCTTCCTTCTTTCCCTTTTTTCTTTCTTCCCTCTTTCCTTCCTTTCATTCCTTCATTTCTTCATTCCTTCCTCTCCCTCTCTGCCTCTTTCCGTCTCCCCCCACCCCTATTTCTTTTGGAGCCAAAATAACTCTTAGTTTTCATAATTCTAAATCACCAGTTGATCTTGAAACTAATTAGATGGTTAATATGTTGTTCAATACTACCAACAAAATTTCAGGGCTAGCTAACTCTAATGCTCTAATTGCAATATCTACTGCATGTCAAAAATATAACAAAAATAGAAGATGTATGTATCTATGACACAGTTGTAGAAACTTGACATTTCAAATTTGTCATCGCAAAATGTTATTTCATGAATTTAATTAATAGCTTCAGTAAATGAAATGCATAAAATAGAATATAATATAGATTACAAAGAAAGGGTTGAAAAATTCACATACCGATTGTAGAAATCATCTCTGTAGTAATCATAGTCAAAGACATAACCACTATGGATAGAAAAAAAATAATAGTCAGTGTGTGTTTAAGCCATGCTCATTTTAATACTATTTTTTGCTTTTATAATGAGGAATCAATTACTTTATCCCAACATACATTAATATATCTATAAAGGCCATTATAAAATGTGTTAATTTTTATATACTTTATCAGACTATCATTACAGTTTGGAATTTTGTCACATTAACATAGGACCAACACATGCATTTCAGTGAGGAAGCTATAATAGCCTCTGTCTATACAGTGAGAACTGCCTACATCCATGTGGATACTTGTCTTTTGTGAGGCACTTTTTATGCATTTTTGTTTGAGTCATCAAGACTACTCGTGTATAAGGTAAGTAAACTATTAAATAGATACCCAATAAGTTTATTGAATTCTTGTCACTAACAATTGACCGGGGGAGGTTAGAGACTGAAATCACATTTTTTGTTTTGTTTTCAATATTCTCAACCATAACAAATCTAAACTCTATTATTTTTGGAGTACTTGCAATAATTTTTACTATGTATTTGTTAATTTAATTTTTCATTATGGTAAAGCACAGAGAGAATGAAAATTGTCATTTTTAATAGTTTCAGCTACAATTTTAATGTACCATTCAAAACATCATTTTAACTATGTCAAGTATTCAATTCAATAGCATTAAAAGACTTCTCAAAGTTGTGTAAAGGTCATCATTGTCTCATGAATTTCTCTGTAGTAGCAAACAGATTCTGTTCCCTACCTGCTTCTGCCTTAATCATCTCTACTCCACATTCTGTCTGTAGAACTTTAGGTACCTCATGAAATGTGAATCACAGTTATGCATCATATAATTACATAATCATAGCTTTTCTTCCTGTCTGATTTATTTCTCTTAGTATCCTTTAAAACTTATCAATTATGTACTAGATATGAGAGTTGTATTCTTTCCTTTTTTCTTTTTTGAATATTTTCAAGACAAGGTTTCTCTGTAGCTTTCATGCCTATCCTGGAACTAGCTCTTGTAGACCAGGCTGGCCTCTAACTCACAGAGATCCACCTGCCTCTGCCTCCCCCATGCTGGGATTAAAGGCATGTGCACCACTGCCCGACTGAGTTGTATTCTTTTCTAAGTTTGACTGTTACAACAAATTTGGTTTATTATTTTTCTGGTAAATATTAAGAGTTTCTCTAATGTTTTTCTGGTAAATAATGATGCCGTGATATTTTGTGTGGATTATCAATATATTTGCTTTCATTTTCCTTGTGAGTATACATAAAAGACAAATTCCTTGATTTACATTAAAATTTAGTGTTTAACTGATTGAAGAACCTCTTATGAGAGAAGGGTAATTTTATATTTCTAATCAACATAACCATCATTTATTTTATAACTATTCTCAAACCATGAATGCTGAAAACCCTTATTGATGGAATTTTAATTATTGCTTTTAAGAACAATGTATGCATGCCTCCTCAAACTTACTACAAAGAGAAGGAAAAGGCTGGACATGGCATATCTAGTCTAAGTTCTGTCTGCAGTGGGGCCTAATATTGCACAGGGTGTGCCAGTTGAAGTTCTGATAAGTTAAAGAAAAATCTAGTTCACACAAGTATCTAATTAGATTACACAATTCTTATTTCTGGTCACAGGAATGTCATATCTATTTCTACAAACCCAGAGTACAAAGGCAGTCATTGTCTATAAAATAATATTGTCTAAAGAGTAAAAAAAAAAAAAACAAAAAAACTTCACCTTTTTTGTTTGTACAGATTATTAAAGTGGCACGGTGTATGCTATAGTTTATATCTCTTACATAGACATGTATGTATTGTTGGCTACCACCAAACTCTGGGTATAAATGTCTTCTGGAACGTTCCAAATCCAACAATGCATAAAATACAGCGACCTTTTCTCAAAACTTGATAAAGAACATGCCATCAAAAACCAAATGAGGCACATGTTTTTAGAAGTTTTAATTTCTACGTATGACTAAATTTCAATCTGGTTGTATCAAGATGATCTCAATTTCCTGTCAGTTTCTTTGAACTTCAGTCAGGTTCCCTTCTGGATTCTACACCCCTGAGTTCTGGTTTTGCTTTAGGAAACTTACATGGCCAATACGTGTGTGTGCCTCTAAGATATAAATGCAAAATTCTCCTAGCTTCACACCTGAGGAGCAGTTTCCTTTTACAGGACTGTAATCTGGTTATCTTTAGCTTTATAGTTACTATCCACTTATGAGTGAGTATGTAGCATGTTTGTTTTTCTGGGTCTGGGTTATGTCACTCAGGATAAATGTTTTCTAGTTGCATCCATTTGCTTACAAATTTTATGATGTCATTGTTTTTTTATTGCTGAGTAATATTGTTTGTGTAAATGTGCCACATTTTCTTCATCCATTCTTCAGTTGAGGGTCATCTAAATTGTTTACAGGTTCTGGTTATCACAAGTAATGCTGCTATGAATAGTTGAGCAAGTGTTCTTGTGGTATGATTTTTACATCCTTAGAGTATATGCACAAGAGTGGTAATACTGAGTCTTGAGATGGATTGATTCCCAAATTTCTGAGAAACTGACATATTGTTTTCCAAACTGGCTATACACATTTGCACTCCCACAAACAAAGGAGGAGTGCTCTTCTTCCTCCACATTCTCTCCAACATAAGCCATCATTAGTGTTTTGGTTTCTTTTTGTGGCCTTATTGTTTTAGCTAGAACTTTTATTAAACAGATATGGAGAGTAGACTGCCTTGTCTTGTTCCTGATTTTAGTGAAAATGCTTTGGGTTTCTCTCCATTTAATTTAAAATTAAGTTGTTGCATTTAAATAAGGGCAACAAAAACAATGTATTTAAGAATATATGAAAAAGCCTCAAATATGCTTAGGTTTTTAGGTCAGCCTGTACTGCTCAGCCTGTACTGCTCAGAGTGTGCTTACCATATTTAGAAACAAGGCTGTAGTGAGGTCACGTGATACTACACAGGTCAATGCTTTCAAAATATCTCCAGCTTACACATTTGCTTTTTCATTATTATGTTTTCAGAAATCTACTGTTGCCAGAGAAAGAGTATATTGGCAGGTTTTTTTTTTTTACATTTTTTCTAATAGTCTTTTTTTATATTATCCCACCATGGAGAGTTTAATTATAAGAGTAATCTATGGTGCAATGGGCAATTGATTAAGAAATTATTAACATGACACTAACAATTATACTCATGTGCTTAGCACATTTAGGAAATGTTCTAATATATTAAGAACTTTCTGGAAATGGAAAGTGCATGAGAGGGAATATTTTATTTTTATCATTCGCTGTTTAAATTACTATGTCCAAACTGGTTACTTTTTGGTCCATTCTGACTGTAAGAGACATGTGTATGATTATAAGTTAAAGAATCTTAAACTGTGTGATCATCATGTCCTGCCACCTGCCATCATGATCTCAATTTTACTTGTCAAAGTTAAAATGAGTAGAATGCACAGAGAGACCTGACCTACTTTGTCTACTTTTGTCTTAGTGTTTGGCTTTAGAGGCAGTGCCAGAGTGGTTACTGAGTTTCTGAGCTAGAGGACCCCTCTAGATTTCTGAGAATAAATAGGGATCCCAAGATTTGAAAGGTTAATTCCAGCAACCCTGGGTCTTCTCCCTTAAGTTTTCAGAACATTCCAGTCACCCACCATTCTCCATCTTTCTTCCTCTTACTAGACAATTTTTTTAATAAAGTCCATCCTCTCAGTACACTGTGGGAACCTCTATTTAAAACTACTTGTCAAATGACAGCAATTATCTTTGCAAAGAATTTTACATATCATAGAATCATATTGCAGAAAAATTTGGTCTTTTAGCCATCCAGCCCACAACCTTTTATTTATTTATTTTTTGTTAATAAAGGTGAGGCATTGCTATGCTGATAAACTAATCTATTTAGCCCATAATACAAAACCCTTCTTCATTTTTTAAAACAAATAGTTTGGAGTAACCATGCAATCTCAGAAGCTTGTCGGCAGAATTCAGTGAATCAATCAGCAGAAGTAAAGCCTGCTATGAGATTTCATTGGTGGAAGAAATAGTAAGTGTCTCAAGATGTTGACAAAACAAGGCTTTGTGAATAAATTTGTGGATACCAATTTACTAAGTTGTAAAAAGGAAAGAGTAGAAAATAAGTGATGAACAATTATGGGTAGCCATTAAAATTGGTGGTGGAAGTGTATGGAACAATAGTGGCAAGGACTACACAGAAGTCATACTTCCTTATTTTTCATGTATATATGAATGTTAAAATAGTATGTATTCTAAATTTTGAGAGGTTATGGAAAATCAGAAGTGTCCTCAAATTCCTATAAAATTACATTTCATATATAGATTATTTAATTTTAAAACTCTCTTTTCTCATTCTACATGCCAAATTCCTTTCCCACTCCCTTCCTTCCTCCTTCTCCCTCCACTTTGCCCCCCTCCAAGCCCCCATACCCCATCCAAAATCAACACCATTGGGGAATCAACAAAATCCAGCTCATTGTTTTGAGGCAGGACCAAAGAACACTTCCCTATATTTAGGATGAGCAAGAGAATGTGTTCCAAAAGCCACAACAAGCAGTAGGGATAAATCCTGGTTTCACTGCCAGTGCCATGCAACTGTCACCCACATTCAGAGGACCCCTTTGTTCCTATGCTGGTTCCCTCTTTGTCAGGCCAAAGTTGAAAGGCTTTAATTAGCTCAGCAGATGATTCAGTGGATTTCCCCATCATGGTCTTGACCTCTTTGCTCGCATTCTCTCTCCTCCCTCTCTTTAACTGGACTTTGAAAGCTCAGTCCAATATTCCCCTGTGGTTTTCTCCATCTACTGGCTTCCATCAGTAGCTGGATGTAGGTTCTATGGTGACATTTAAATAGTCATCAATCTGACTGTAGGGCAAGGCAAGTTCAGGCACCCTCCCCACTATTGCTTAGGGTCTTAGTTGGGGTCGACCTTGTGAATTCTTGGGAATTTCTCTAGTGCCAGATTTCTTGCTGGCCTCATAAT